CTAATATATGTATAAAAATAATAAATATACAATATTTTCTACTTTATCAATATAATATGTATAAAAATGATATATTTATTTTTTGACATTTCCATACAATGACACACATATAATTGAATAGTAGAGATGTAATAATAAAGGAACAGTGTTTCAGCCCCGCTATGGTATATGCAGCCACACAGTACAATCGCTTGTTTCGCTTCGTCATGGGTCTCTTCCTAACAGCTGTCATAACCCCGCCCTTTCGCGCCCTGATATCCGCTCCCCACTTCTCGTCGCTGATTGGTTGGCCCGTGTCCTCTGCGGGTGAGCCCTCACGCTTGACGTCACGGACCCCGGCGAATGTGCAGCTGCCGGTGGCCTCTGAGGTGACGCCACCCAGCTGTCCTTCCAGCGCCAAAACTCAAAACTAGAAGAAGCGGGAGACAGAAGAGTATAAGGCGCGCTGTGTGGCACTGGTCTTGTGTATTCTTCATAACTATGGCTACCCCACCGAAGAGAATCTGCACCGACCTCCCCCCTTCACCCAGCTCATCCACTTCATCTCTAGGCAAGAAGAGCAAAATCAAGAGGATCTCCATAGAGGGCAACATCGGTAAGAGGAGCCTATTGTAGAGACGAGGACGCTGCCTGGGTGCCTCTATAGTATTATATGTGCCATAGTATGGTGGTAATAATGTAGCTGTCAGCCTTGGTTCAGCGACATTACGATCGGTGTTTATGAAGGGCTTTCCCGCCACTAAGTAGGCTGTCATTGTGAACCCGCGATGGCTGATGGCAGGTGCCTCCCTCTGATAGAACACTCATACATAGGTTGAGAAGAGACATCCATCCATCCAGTTCAATCTATAGAGGGAAATTAATACACTATACCCACAGTTCATCCAGAGGAAGGCAAACAAACCCCTTTAAATCATGATCCTATTTACTCCAAAGGGGGGACACATTCCTCCCTGATCCCCCCCCCCTGACATGATTGGAGCCTTTCAGCATGTCTGTCCGGCACCGCCAGCCCTCCGATCACTGTTATTCCATTCATCTATGGACCATTGTTAGTTGTGGTCTCCGCTATATGCAATTGTGAAGTGTGTGTTTTGTTTTTTTTAGAAATCATTGTTTTCTTTTTGAAAATATGCAAATGGTCAAGTGTCATGCGTCCTGGATCTGGCTGTAGGATATATATGGTGCTGTGCTGTTAAAGTAGAAGGGAAAGCTAAAGCTGGGTATAAAAAAACGACTAAAAGATGGATAAGCGCACTACTGTGATTATAATGGAGGAGGAGAATAATAATAAAAAAAACTATTAAAATGAACAATGATAACCGTTGTGCGGTCTCCTTAGACAGAGAGAGGAACCCTGTAATTGGAATAAACAGCAAAAAAACACGAAGGAGCGTTATTACCTGGGAAACTATTTAGAGTGGTATAGTTGTTGTAAACCAATGTATACGTAAAAAGATGCAGGGACTCACTGTTAGATGGAGGCGATGGCGATCTTATGGAGAAGGATGAGGGGTGTGTATAACATCAGTGGAGACGTAAAAAATATCATTCATCCATATGAAGTGATGGCTGAAGCGGGGTTGCGTTGGAAAGAGTGTCTGATAAATCACAGGGTGTGTGTGTGTGACTTGCGATCCTCGTTGGATGCTATCACCGATGTATCAAAAAACTGACCATCAAATTCAGCCGTAGTGATGAAAAATAAAATGGAAGGAGCAAGATGGAAATCAAACAAATATACATTACCCAACAAAGTATTTCTTTACATTTCTGCCCAGACACTTACAGTCTTCATGTTTCCAAACGGTTCCAACTCTCTCAGCTCAGCTTCCCTGAACTTCCTGTCCAGTACAAGATCACATCTACCAATTTGGAGGAGAGGGAGGGGGGGTGACCTGCCATGCTGTGTCTGTGATTATGGAGAGACATAGCTTACTAGCACATACAACAGTGTCTCCTTAGGACCCTGCAAGGAAAAGGAGGCATTCTAGGGGCCCGTTCACAGCAAATTTGCGCATGCACTATTTTTTCAAAAGCATGGTATTTGGCGGTGTGGGTGGGATGTGCGTTTGGGGTGCCGTTCACATGAAGGCCACGTAACGCACCCCCTACACTGTGATCACAAGGGAGGGGCATTGTGCGGTACCGTTCATTAATTGCACTAGTGGCATATCTGCATTTCTTGGCACATACAGCCCTATGTGTGTGTACCCACTCACAACACCACAGCAGTTTAAACCTACCAGGCGGCTTTCTAGGCTCTGACTATAACAGTGGCTTTTGTGTTCTTGTTGCCAAACATCTTGCCATGGCGAAAGGAGCAGAAGAATCTGATTGCTATTGTAGCAATTCAATTTTCAGCTACTTTAATAAATACACCCCAGGTTAGGTCATTTGAGGCTGGTCCTCTCCCCAGTAGTCAAACTGGTTTCATTTAAAGACCCAAACCAGGAAAAGATTTCCATTTGCCTTGACTTATTTTGTACAGATATTTCCAGCCTTGGTAATAGGTAAAGCTGTTCCACCCTTAAGATGTTTTGGTTACACCCAATGCAGACAAGTGCAGAAAAACAAACAATTGTAAATATAATTAGTCAGACTATATTGGGAGTCTGAGAAGCTGTAGTCTTTTTATTGTAGAAAATATATATATACCGTATATACTCGAGTATAGGCCGTCCCGAATATAAGCCGAGGTACCTAATTTTACCACAAAAAACTGGGAAAAAATAGTGACTCGAGTATAAGCCGAGGGTTTTAACCCCTTGCTGCTGGCCCTTTATTAATAGACTAGCTGCAGTTATAATTGGTGGACAGAGACCATGTGATCTAGGCTGGGAGTTAGAGTTTAGGCACTGGCTGTAATTGCTGCTTGGTGTACTGCCTGCTAAATCATCAGTACCAGATTGTGGCACAAACCAGCTATAGTCCTTTGTTCAGCAACCTTGTGATCTGTGAGCTTTCCCGCCAGTCAGTTGTTGTCTGGCTGTCAACACCATCTTGTGCATGAATGGCTGGTGGCAGTTGTCCCTACTCTTAAGGCTGTGACACACTGCACGCGAAGCAGCGCGGAGCGTTGACGTGCTGCCTTCGCGAGCAGTGTGTCATGTAATTTTCTCCCCGGCACGTCAGCTTGCGAGGAGCTTGTGTAGCTGAGCGTGCCGAGATGAAAAATTGAATCTTCAGCCAATCGGCTCGTGTGTGTAAACGTCAGCATGCCACAGCTGGCTGGTTGTTACGCAGGAGCCGATTGGCTGATTGGCAATCATCTGACTGCACTCAGCTCACACACTGCACGCAAAGCTCCATGCCGGACAGCTTTGCTTCGCTCTGCGCGGCTTTGCGTGCAGTGTGTCCCGGGCTTTACGAGAACACTGCAGTCCTTTAGGACATTGACAGTGTCTAGTAGTTATAATCACTACCATTCTATTCATCCACATGGTGCTTCAACAAGCCTACTGATCAGTGTATGCGTGGTCTACCTACTCTTGAGAAGCAATATATTAAAAACTGGGCGTTTGATATTTTGGGTTTTCAGCGGGACAGTTGTCATGCTCTGAACTGTATGTGACATGCTGAACCTCATTAAAGCAGTATTCCACTTTAAATGTAATGTATAGTCTTTTCAGTGACTTTTAGATGTCCACCAAACTGGTCTCTTTTACATCTATATCTTATTTTAAAACCCTTGTTCCCTTGTGTCAATTGTAACTATATAACTTACTCGGGGCCAGCCATATTTGTTCACTTTAAATGCAGGGTCTGCTTTGCAGTTACTGCTCCTTTTTTACAATGCACATCTATAAATCATGTGACTCATTGCAGACAGAACCCCCTCATTCTACGACTAAGAAAAGCTGTTCATAGGTGGAAATGCAGACCAGCCTTTCACAAGCTTTTTATCCTGGGGGAACCCTACAAATTATTTTTAGGTTTCGGAGAACCCCTGAAATAATTTGTTACATCTACAACTGGCAATACATTAGTAAGATCAGCAAGTTATAGATATAATAATAATAATAATAATAAATGAAATATTGGCGTGCACCCCTTTTTGTGAAACATGTTTGTTTTTTGATGTGACTAGGGTGGATAATTTGTATTAACACTCTCCTCTTTTAGGTTGGTGTCCAGTGAAAAATGCTTCTTTAAATTGGTGGTAAGGGAGTTTCCTAACATTAATATCAGTTGTGAAGTTCCTCTTCACACTGGTGAACAGCAAGAAGTGCCCACTTACATTGGTGTTCAGTAATAGGAAGAATGTCCTTCACATTGGTTTTCCATCGGAGCACCTTATACACTGCTCAAAAAAATTAAAGGAACACTTTTTAATCAGAGTATAGCATCAAGTCAATGAAACTCCTAGGATATTGAGCAGGTCAGTTGTTGTTAATCAGTTTCAGTTGCTTTGGTGTTAATGAAACTAACAGGTGCACTAGATGGACTAGATGAGTCAGTGTCACTACTGGTAGCATGAGGCGATACCTGGACCCTATAGAGGTTGCACAGGCATGCCAACTCCTCCAGGATGGCACATCAATACGTGCCATCGCCAGTCTCAATAGCATGGAGGAGATTCTGGGACACAGGCAGTTACTCTAGGAGAGATGGACAGGGGCGTAGAAGGTCCTTAACCCATCAGCAGGACCGGTATCTGCTCCTTTGTGCAAGGAGGCACAGGATGAGCACTGCCAGAGCCCTACAAAATGACCTCCAGCAGGCCACTGGTGTGAATGTCTCTGACCAAACAATTAGAAACAGACTTCATGAGGGTGGCCTGAGGGCCCGATGTCCTCTAGTGGGCCCTGAGCTCACTGCCCGGCGCTGTGGACTTCGATTGGCATTTGCCATTGAACAACAGAATTGACAGGTCCACCACTGGCGCCCGGTGCTTTTCACAAACGAGAGCAGGTTCACCCTGAGCACATGTGACAGACATGAAAGGGTCTGGAGAAGCCATGGAGAACGAGATACGAAAGACGCCGCAGTAACGGTGTCCCATCAGACAAAGCGTTTGGGGCGGTCTGTTACAGCCGAAAGTTTGGGGTGAGTACGCACTCTATTAGGGGGATGTATTGATCTTAATACAAACCCCAGGAAAGCACTACTCTACTGAACATTGGAAGGCTCTGCTATTTGGCTTTGAAGCGGAGCTGTATATTACAGAGACTTTATCTGTTTATATATATTTTTTGTTAGCACAATTAATTGTCATTCACAATTATTTTCGTTTGTATTTTTGTTTACCCACCTGAATTTTTTCACGCATATGATTTGTCACTTAATGGTATTAATTCACATGAAGGTGTAAAAAAAGTGAAGGATTTTTTAATGTGGATAGACTAATCCATTTTATCTTTACACACTGAGACACCTAGAAGCACTTGGTTAAAAATCACCTTCTAATCGTACACAGGTTTATTAACTATTACAGTGCCGTGTTTTTTTTTTGTTTTTTTATTGATTAACGGCACTTGCATTGATGTGTTTTTTGTGTGATTTGTAGTTCACAAACACGATTATATGTTTTTTTGATTCACCTACTAGCGCTGTTAATTTGGTTTAAAACTCTTCAGACCCAGCGGTCTTTAATACAGCAGCTTGTATTTTACATCACAATATTTATTTATCTACTTATATTGGTGTGTTGACACGATACACTAAAAATTCATCACATTGACTTTGCAGTAAGCGCTGCTTATCTTGTTATATCATGGAGAACGTTATGCTGCCTGTAATATCGTTCAGCATGACCAGTTTGGTGGTGGGTCAGTGATGGTCTGGGGAGGCATATCCATGGAGGGAGTCACAGACCTCTACAGGCTAGACAATGGCACCCTGACTGGCATTAGGTATCGGGATGAAATCTTTGGACCCATTGTCAGACCCTACGCTGGTGCAGTGGGTCCTGTGTTCCTCCTGGTGCACGACAATGCCCAACCTCTACATTGAGAGACAGCGGCAGAACCCTAGGGTTCTGCAGAACATTGGTGGAGAAACCTTGATGTAGACAAAATCCCTTAGGGGAAGGTAATAACTATCTGGGTGAAGGCACCGCTGCTGCTTACTAAGGTGGTGCTGAAGGACCCAGGTCACTGTCCGAGAACATGCAGCAGCAAGTGACATCTCAATCTGCATACTCATTGAATGTTCCTGTATAAGCTGTAGATGTACATACATGATACCCTTTTAATTCACTTTCTTTTCTTCCAATAGCTGCTGGTAAATCTACTTTTGTCTGCCTTCTCAATAAGTGCAATGAGGACTGGGAGGTTGTCCCTGAACCTATAGCAAGATGGTGCAACGTTCAAAGCTCTCAAGATGAATTCCAGGTATTTTTATGTGTACATACACTAGAGGTGCACTGAAATAGAAATTTTGAAAACGAAACCGAAATTAAAAAAAATGTTAGGCCGAAACCGAAAATGTTTTTATTTTTTTCAATTATTTAATTTTTTATAAACTTTTTTTTAATTCATTTTTTTATTAAATATTTTTACTTTACTTTTAGGGGCTTCGGGGAAATATTAGGGGTCTAAACAGACCCCTGATATTTCCCTTTTAAAATAGAAAAAGAGATTGAGAACACAAAGTCCTCAATCTCTTTTTCTCATCAATGAACAGGAATCATCTATACTGAGTGTTCCTGTTCATTGATAACTTGAGAATATTGTTTGTTTACTATAACTACAATTATGAATGAATGGGGGTGATGTAGATCACTCCCATTCATTCATAATTGAGGATATAGTACACATACCATATCCTCAATTATGTACACACACACTCAGCGATCACTGATCGCTGAGTGTGTGTATCTTGCTTTTCTCTCTGACACGCTGTCACAGGAGGCTGATCGAGCGGTGTAGAGAGGAAAGCCCAGCCTTCTGTGACAGCGCTGTCTCCAACTGTGATAGGCGGCAGAGCGGTGTGGGAGGAGACGCCGGCCGCTCACAGCGCTCTCCACCGCAGCGCTCGACCGGCTGTCACTTTCTTTTCTCCCCGCTGGAACAGCGGCCAACGGGGAGAAAAGAAACCAGGGATGCGCCAATGTATCGGCCGAAACATGGCTCTTTCGGCATTATGCCAAAAGTGCCATTTTCGGGCGATATGTTTCGGTGGCCGATATATCGGTGCATCCCTAACATACACACATGTGCAGTTTACTGGGGGGAAAAAAAGATCAGGCTGGACAAATCCCAGGAACCAGGTAGCCAATGCTCTTTAACAATTACAGCAGCTGCTGCCTAAAGGGTGCCCATACACCTTACGATTATCGGACAAAACTTTTCGTCCGATGATCGAACCATCGTACGATTTACGTATGACGGCCCCATCCTGCCCCGATTATCGCAAGGTTCAAGCAGCGGTAGTTTAAAAAAAACCACCTGGACGACTTGCAGTAATTGACCGTAATTATTTTCGTATTCGCAGTGTTAATCGTACGACTTTTGACGGACGGAAACGCCACCAACCATGCGAACATCATACGATCGACCAAAGTTTTCAAACATGCTTGACCATCAAAAGTCGTACGATTTGTACAGTACTATCGGTCGGGCACTACATTCACACGTTACGATTGTCGTACGAAAAGCCGATCGCATACGATTATCGTACGATATAATCGTAAGGTGTATGGGCACCTTTTTACTTTGAAGGTTTTCTCTAGTTGTTAATTGATCTGGCTCCTGAATTCCATATTTTTCCATCCCTGAAGTAGATGGTTTAAAAAGCATAAAAAAGGCAAAATACTTCTAAACAATTATTTATTGTCTCTACTGGAACTATATGGTGGTTCCTCCTAATATAAAGCTGTTGCTCTTTGTAATAGAATCAAAAATAATTATAAATATACTAAGATATGCAAACAGTGTAGGGAATTATTGAAATCTAGCACAGGCCTGTTTGGGACTAAAGCTATCCACTCATGGCTTGAATTTTGGCTGATTTCTGCTGAATTGGCTGACGTTCAAGCCCCAGGTGACCTTGTCAACACCACCAAGCTCAAAAACTTTGACAAATTTGGGTAGAAAATAGTCTGCCACACTGACTGCATCCAGTCAAATGATTTTTTTTTTCTTGTTCAGCCCCATGACCAAGAGCAAGAAAGATCTAGCAATGAATGGCTAGCTTTAGTAAGACACTGTGACCAGTATTGAAAGGCTTTTCAAAAGTTGTTAGCGTGGATGGGGAAATTGAGTTTTTTTCTTGTTCAGCTGTTACTCATCCTCTATACCTGGTGAAGTCACATTGTTTTTATAATATTGTCAGAATGTATTTAGACCAGAAGTGCCGCTTGATCTGCACTAATGTCAGTAAATGCAACCTCACATGTCGGTTCTCTTTCATTCAAGAAGTTTTTATTGAGTTTACAAAACAATGGAAACACAACAGTACATAAGTGACAACGGATCAGGTACCATGCATTAGCAAAACAAACAAACAAACAGGTGTGTAAGTCACGTACATAAACATATCGGAGATTGTTCATTTCTACACTGAGTGGCCAGACCATGACCATGACCATGAGCTTATAGCGGAACTGTAAATGCCAGCGCTGTAAGGCATACTGACCTGGCCAGCCAGGAACAGTTTTGTTCTGCCGTATGCCTTACGGCGCTGGCAGGTAAAGGGCTAAGCCTTTATGAACCAGAGTTAGCCCTTATTAACTCTTTCCCTTTTGCTATTTCTATATAGGGCTATATCATATTAGTAAATAACTGTGCCATGCTGTGTGCTAGAAATGTAATTGTGTTTATTATAAATCAGAGTAAAATGTACGCTTTTTATTTGCAGTACCACTAAGGGGTCTATCCACTAAGCTGCCGTAGGCAGCCGAGTGAACGACTGAAGTGAAGTGAGCCGAACGCTGTTTGGCTATTCACTTCAGGTTTGTACGGCTGGTTTCAGCCGTACCTCATGTGGCTTCAGGTCGTCCGAACATGCTCAGCATGTTCTGCCGACCTGAAGTGCAGAAGGAGTTCGACTCAGCCGATCCAACATCTGGATCGGCTAAGACGAACCTTCGGCAGGCTACTCGCTGCTGTTCGGTCTATTCTCATATATGCAAAACAGCAGTGAGTAAATGGCCGAATGCCGCTGAGCGGGATTCGGCTCGGCTGTTCTGCCCGGTACCTCTGTGGCACCGAGCAGAATAGAAAATAGTTTAAAAAGTAGAAAAAATTGGCGGGCGGCTCTGCTGCCGTCAAAAAAATAAATAAATTTTGCCATAGGATTAGCTGGTAACCAGGGACGCTGATCTCTCTTCAAGTGGCCGGAGCCAGCCGTAAGATCACGGCTGGCTCCGCCCAGCTGTCAGAAGCAGGCTGCCGGCCGCTCGGCCAGTTTCACCTTTCACATAGGCTCAGTCTCGGCCTTTTGGCTAAGATCAAGTGTAGTATCTGTTCTTATCAGTTGCCGGTGTCAGCCGAAGCTACAGCTAGATCCTTCGGCTGCTTCATGAATAGACCCCTAAATGTTACTGCACTAAGACACATGGTCAAATTTTGTATTCGCCTTTTACATTGCATAAAAAATAGAATCATTTTTGCAAGGAAATATTGCTAAAAGAGCCTTGTTTGCTGGGATTTGTTGTACTCCTCTATAGCTGGTGGAATTCTGCATTGCACCACTGTATAATGTATTATTGCTGGGATTTGTAGTCCTCTATACAGCGCCATGCAGAATACCAGCAGCTATAGAGGAGTACAATAAATCCCAGCAATATTACGTTATACATACAGTGTATAATGTATTGCTGGGATTTGTAGTCCTCTATAGCTGGTGGTATTCTGCATTGCGGCACAACAGCACAATGTACCATCAGCTATAGAGGAATACAAATCCCACTATCCCAGCAATACATTATAGAGCACCATGTGTGGGGAAAGTGCAGGCTGGCATGAGGAGTCTTCCAGCAACTTGCTTCTGAGATCGGGCCTGTCTGTCGGCGGCTGTCACCCCCCCCCCCCCCCCCCCCCCCACTCCCTCTTTTCCCCCCCCCTGGGAGATGCGGGCGGGTCTGGCAGTGGCGAGCGTGAAGCAGGGAGGAGGTGCAGTGTGTGTGGAGTCGTGAACAGGGCCAACGAATTGAAAGCCAATGAATCGATGATTGAAAATGTTGTCAACTTTTTCAATCACCGATTTATAATGGACTTAGTCGATTAGTTGTTGCAGCTCTAATTGATATTTGCATTACTATATCCTAAGTAACGTCAAGTTTTGGCACATCAGCAGGCCCATAGCTAAAATGTAAAAATTGCTCTAAAAAAAGGAGAGGGATTATAAGCATACAGGAGCTGAAGGAGTTAAACTGTGTATTAAGCTGCTTTCCTGAAGTTCTAGTGATTAAAGTTTTTGCCCTTTTCAAAATTGTCTGCATATACTGTACACGCACGTCAATGCTAATCTTTGTTGGCTAGGTATTGAGGATGAATTAAAACTAATCTGTGTGAGGCTAATCCTGCAAAGCTACTAATTTTTCGTAGGTTTCGTCCAGTGTCTGCACCGCCGTTAGACAAAAACATTGTTTATTGTTCAGCCAAAGTTTTTAAGCCTATCTTCTAGGGAAAAACTCCCCTTGCAGTAAATCTAAGGGGGGCTCACAAGCCCTCCATGTGATAGCACATTGGAGGGGACAGGTTCTTTTTAAGGTGACATTAGGGGTCTGTTAGACCCCTAGTGTCAGCGTTCCACTTCACTGGGGAATGACAACTGCCTGGTGAGGCAGCTGACTGTACACACAGCAGACAGTGGCTGGTAGCAATAGCCAGCCTGCTATTGGCTATTTTAAACTGCAATAGCAGCCTGGCTATTGTACCTTCCTACTGCCTGCTTTCAATCATTAGAGGAGGGAACTGAAGGAGAAAGTTATCGATTATCATCGATTAGTTGTGTATTTGAAGTGTACAGTGCTAAATGCCCTTCAGGAAATTAGATAACGGTAGGGATCATATGGTGTCACCTCCGTGTCAAGCAATCGTGAAACAGTGTATATATAATAAATATTTGTGTAAAAACTTATAGTACGTTATAAAATGTGTCAGCAGGTGTCATAAAAGGCGTGTCATACATGAACCTTATTAAATAAATAAACAAAAATCTTCAAAGAACATGTGTCATATATGTGAAAAAAATATTATTGTGAAAAAAATATTAAATAAATAAACATGTGTCATATATGTAAAAAATAAAAATATCACAATATAAAACAGTCTGTGTTGTTTTCTTTCGAAAATAAGTAGATGTATGCACTTATAATATAAAAAATGCACCCAAAGTTCTAAAGCTCTCCGATCTTCAAAACAAAAAAAGCCCAGAAGAATGAGAATAAAAATCAAAATCAAAAGAAATGTCCAATATTATGAAGTGTCCAACGAAAAAACGATAGAAAAAAAA